TCTGGCATTACACATGTCGAAAAGTTCCTTGACTTTCTAGCGTCTGGCTGTCGCCTCGCCCGCACACGAAACGAAACGTGATACCATCGCTAAAGGTTAATTCATTAATACACGACCTTCTCCGAAGTGACAACTTCAAACGGGCTCGTCACGAATCAAGCCTTTTTCAGTCGTGACACAGTGTCCTCGCGTGAAAAAAAAAAAGAAACAAATTTAAATAATTATAATAAGAACACCTAGGTACTACCACGAAGGGAAGTAGTAAAAAACTGCCAAGAGCCCTTTATGCATGCCACAGAGGCTGGAGCGTTCTGCCGGAGGTTACAAATAAGTTAAAACCACTGGATGGCCAAACTTTCATCGGTGTTCATGGCGAAGAAAACCTCCTTTTAAGAGAAGTAGTTAGTTCGAGCTAAGACAAGCGGAAAGGATGATGCAGAAGATCGGGAAAGGGGAGAGGTGAAGGTGCACAGCCCCCACGCGGTGATGGTTCGTCTCTCCTACCCTCCACCCCAAAAGCCGGCTCCGAGTCTCTGATGTGCAGCAAGACTCGTTCACGCTTTTCAGAACTAATCAACTCAACCATGGTAAGACGCACTTTGGAGGAATGCCTCTTCACGACAAATCCTCCACGTTATAAGATCGCAAAAGTGGGGTTTCAGAGGACGGCGGGGGGGGGAGGGAAGCAACTGTATGCGCAGCTTCGGTTAATAATGAATAATGTAGGACTTCGCTTGACACCCCCTAAAACCACTGCGCTTATGATCATGCCCTCTGATTCACAGTCGGCAAGCAGACCTACCCACAAAGGCCTAGACATTTTTGTTGTTGGTATATACATTTTTTTTTCTTTCGTCAACTTTCCTCCTTGTTTGCGGTGGGTTTCACTCCCCGAAGGCTTGATTTTGTGATAAGGCTTTCTCTCTCTCTCTCTGTTGCTGCTGTCCAAGGCGTGGTATGATGATTGTGCTGGATGCGATAGTTCATAACAGATGTATGTATCGCAAGGAAAGGGTTGTTACACTGGAACGCTCTGCCGGATTTGTAATCACGAGGTAAATTTGTCTCTTTCAATGTCTATGTCTTTGTTTAGTGCGTATGAAGCAGGCATTATGATTCAATTTAAATAGGACTTGTGGGCATTTTCAACCCCTTTTTTTAATAATCATCCTCCCAAATTTTCCTTCCTGGACTCTAAGTAAATAAATTGCAGAAATATTCTAGTGTTCTTATTAATGTCTTAAATTGTTTTTTAGAATTGTTATAAGCTCATTACATATGTATAATAACCGAGAATTTCTGGAAGGATATTTCATACAAACTTGATGAATTTATTTCAGGTTTTTCATTTAATTTTAAAATGCGTATGTAATTTTCTAATAATCTCGACTTTCAGACATATTTATATCCTAATATTTTAGGTACCTTTTATACTAGCATAGAAATCTCCTGCGCTTGAAAGTAATTGTCAAATTTGCAATTCGCTTCTTACCCATTTATTTATCATTATGATATACTGCAGTTTCAGCCTCTTAAATTGTCATCGCTGCCATTTCAAATTTTAAATATTGGTATGATATTATTTTTACCGTATCGATTTGACTTTCCATTTTTTTCAGACATTAGTTTCTTTTAAGTTTCACCATATTAATTCTATTATATTTTTATATATTTTATTTTATATTATATTTTTTATTGTTACATGATACTTTTCCCAACGTGATTAAATATTTACGCTATTAGAACAAAAAAATGAATTAATAATTGTATTAGAACGAAAAAAGTGAATTAATAATTGTGACAATATCTTTTTCCTTCTTTTTCTCCTTATTTTTATGTTTTATCTATTATAGCAAGTAAGCTTAGTGCAATAAGCATTAAAAATTGGAGTGTTGTTTTATCCGCGCACAGATTTAAGCGCAAAATTTTCTCCCAGTAATGTCGCAGTGATTTTCTATTATTCACATGGGTTTTGCAGTGACTTGAATTCTGTATTCATATGTATTCCTTCTCTGAGTTAGATGTTTACGATTTTCAGTGTAAAATTGAAGAATAAACGTTAATTGTTGTCCAAACTATTTCCAAACAAGCAGGAAAGTTATACAAGGTTACTTTATAAATGATTTAGAAACAGTTAATCATTTGTAATAATCTTGTATAACTTGTACTATATTTTAAGTCCTAAATCTTCTACGCTATAAATCATTTATATTATTGATATTCACGTTACGAAAGAAAAAGTTCTTAATTTTTAAAATTCATGCAAGCAGACTTACTTATGTTATATCGAATAGCATAATAGCTCCATTTTCGAGGGTAGTTTAATTCTTCGCTGCTAGAAAACTTTCCAAAAGTGCTAATTTACAGCGGGAAACTTTTCCTATTTCAGAATGTGCAAAGTGTTTATTCATTACTAATATTAAACGTGCTTTTTCGAAATCACAATAACACTTTACACTTATTCTAAAATACAAAATAATATAGATCTGTACCATATTTATCACATCATAAAACATCTAAATCGGTTCATAAACCCTTCAAAGTAAGATACAAGATCCAAAGGCCACTAGAGCATTCAGTTATTTATATCGACTGCCCCAAAACAGTGATTACCTCCGTAAAGACAAGAACCCAAGACGTAGCGGTGGTTTGGTTTGATTTATTTGATTACGGCAAAGTCCTCGAAAACTATATGACTAAGGAGATGAGTGCCTTCACGGAGGACTTTCTAAAGGGAACTCGATTTTATGCCGTTGCGCAGGACGAAAACCCTCATGCAGCCAGCTCATATGCGGGATTCGAACCTCAGACCGAACTACCACCATTCAGCGACTTTACCGCTCGGCCGCTGGTGGCGCGACGTAGCGGTGGAGAAGCTTCCAGCAATGCCATAAATTCAACAAATTGTGCTAATCGCGAACTGTTTTCTACAGTAGAACCAGATAAAAGGCCACTGGACGAAAAAACATGCACCAAAAACCCTAAAAAATAAACCCACTGGGATAATTGCCGGTACGGCAAATACCGCCACATATGAAAGTTCACTTAGATTTAAGCCCACACTGATATAAACCTACATTGATAAAAGCACACGCTGATAAAATCTCACATGAATAAAAGACTGAGTGGAGAAGTTTGACACAATATCTAAACAACCTCTTATACACGGTGGCAATTATTTAACATTGTTGACGAATTGCCTTGCTTTGACTCTTTTAACTAATTTACTTTTAACTTTAGATGCTTCAAGTTTATTTTACTTCAGTCCTGCAGCTACAGCTCAGGACGGGTATAAAAATGTTGTTTTTAATTTTTAGCCTCTTATTATGTTTCTTTATGTACTTACATACATATATACGTATATATACGCTTACTCTACTATCCGGCTCGGTGAGCTTAGTATTTCTATTCTTATATGTTGGTAAATTGCACGTTCTTTGCTTTAAAAGTGATTGAATTAGATTGTTTTTATGTTCCCGGTAAGGTTGCTATGCCTTTAGTTAATCTGCATGTAATAGTTGTAGAATTATCAACAATTTAAAAGTTTAAGTGTTGCTAACCCTAACGAGGCCGTCATTCGTTTATATTTGAAACTCTTAGTAGAATCGTGAATTGAGTCAGTTAGGGCACCAACTTTATTGTCTTTCTTCTGAGTGCGAGCAAAAGTAAACTTTCAGTTTTGAACACCGAAATCTGTCTTCCTGTCCGCTACTAGAATCGCTTGTTTTTGTGTAGAAACTCTAATTTTCATTGTGTAACAGTTTCTTTTAACCGTATTTGGTGTTTTATATTTTCTGTATTTTGCAATTTTTAATGAAGATGCTTTGAGTTTTTACGTATTTTTTGCCTTGTTGCGTATTGACAATTGAATTAATTGAATGAGAAATCATCTCTAATGGAATTTGAGGAAACAAGGTTAAATAAAATGCAACAAAAAATTCGTATAATTTAATAGGCCGTACAAGGAAGTCATGTGGTGTCCACATCAGATATTTTAATCTAATTTTTTGACAGCTGTATGACTGTAATTTTATCAGATAATAATCTGTCAGATAATAATTATGCTTAAATCGTTTGTCGTTTGAAATCACAATTTTAAATATTTACAATTCCTTAAACTTGCTTATTTAACCGAAGAAATACTTGTGCTTAATTGCTGTACTATATCTTTAGATATCACAGTAGCTTAGTCTTTAATATTAATTAATTACCTGATATTTTAATGCGGCGTTGGCAAAAACTTATCAATAGACATGTGTCAGTCATACTACAGTCGTGTTTTTAATCATATATGTTGCCAGCTGGGATTACAGTAAATTATTACCATCTGTGTCGCTTTCATAACTACGTTTAACCATGTGTGGTTGCAACGGCAAGAGAGAACAGTAAATAAAACACGACAAAACTAAATAAATCTTCAGTCTTAGAATAGGGTCGTAAATTATGGAAACGCTCTATCTGCATTTATGAATTTTACATCTCGGTCTTATCCTTTTCTAAGTGATGTATAAGATCAATGAATGGAATTATCGGCAATAAAGCTTCTCCTTTTAACAAAAGACTTTTTTTTTTTTTTTTTTTTCATTTGATAAATCCCAGAGACATTTAAAGAAAAAAAGAAAAAATGGTTGGTTACTTAAATGCGAATGCAGCAAAATTAAACACTCGATTATTAAAAAATGGCTATGTTTGGCTGGTAAACATGGTAGCAAAAGCTAATCAAGGAATTATTGGAAAGATATCACCAACTCAAGTAAAACGGTGAATTTTCTGATAATGGAATCTATGGAAATCGCATATATCTGTTAATGTGTAAGTAAGAACATGTTCACTAATTCATTGCATTTGCATATGTATTGTATACTTCCGCTAATTCCTAAATTTTTAAAACTGTGTGTCCTAGACTTTAAACAGAGTTTATAATTTTGCTGATACCTTAAACTATTTTGAAATGAGTATAACATATGGTCGTTTTTATAATAAGCATATTTCAATTTCAGGCCACAGCGGTATCAACCAGCTGGGCGGCGTGTACGTAAACGGGCGTCCGCTGCCGGACTCCACGCGCCAGAAGATCGTGGAGCTGGCCCACAGCGGGGCACGCCCCTGCGACATCTCCCGCATCCTACAGGTCTCCAACGGCTGCGTCTCCAAGATCCTGGGCCGATACTACGAGACCGGTTCGATCCGTCCGCGAGCGATCGGTGGCAGTAAACCCCGAGTGGCCACCCCTGACGTGGTGGCCAAAATCGCCCACTTCAAAAGGGAGTGCCCCTCCATATTCGCCTGGGAAATCAGGGACAGACTACTATCAGAGGGTGCCTGTACGAACGACAGTGTTCCCAGTGTAAGTCCCTTGCATGTGATTCTTATTACTTAAAATGCAATTATACAGCAAACTAGGAATCAAAGGAAGGAAACGGAATGAGATAAGACTTTTTATAGCTTTGAGGAAGAGGAACGGAATTACAAGTGTTATATAAAGTTGGTAGATTTTGATGAATATGGAAGAATCCAATGAAATTTAATTCACCAAGCGAAGGGAATAATTGAATAATTTTAGAATAAAGTTTAAAAAAATTATTAAGGGACCAAAAGTTCTTAAGCTGAAATGATTTACTTATACCTACTTTTCTGATACAAGATTTGTGTGTTTTGTTGGAATAATTACATCTCTGTTAGCTACAATACGTAAACGATGCTGAGTAAAAGTACTGTGAATTCTCTGAAAATTAAAATCTAGAATGATGTCTATGAAGAGTAACCAGCGTGTTTTACTTTTAAGACAGAAAATAAATTTAATAGCGTACCTCCGAATAATTTAAAGAATTTTTTAACTAATCGAAAGAAAAATTAAAAGTGTCACAAGAGTACTGGGATTTAGGTTAAAATACCATGCCAAACAAATATTAATTTAGAAGTCAAACAACAAAAATCAGCGTTATATTTGCAAATTTTCACTGTAAAAATTTGCAAATATAACGCTGATTTTTTTTGTTTGACTTCTAAATTAGTACTGCGATTGTTTTGATGAAGAATATTTTTTTATCAAATATGCAAAACAATATTTAAAGGAAGTATACTTAAATAAACTTTTAAATGATTTTTAACAAAATGTGTTACAATTACTTTTGTAAAAGTTTAACTATATTCATGAATACTAATTCAGAAGTCAAACAACAAAAATTAGCATTATATTTACAAAATTTTCACAGGACTAGTTTCGATGGTTTTGTTGTTTGACTTCTGAGTTAGTATTTATTCGGCGTGTTATTGTGTCTTAATTATATTCATGAAGTTAAAAAAACCTACCATAAAAGAGTTTATTGTAACGTTATTTGGGTAATTTCTGGAGCCAGAAAATTTGAAGCTTGTCAGTAAAATTATGCAGAATGTATTTCTTAGAAATTCAGAATAAATTTTTTGGGAGTTATGAAATTTTTTTACCCTGTTCTTCACTGTACTATTGAGTATACATATCGCAAATGCCGAATTTTTTTTTATTCAGAAATTTCAGTTTTGTTCTATTGTATTATTTTGAAAAGGGACATGTATCTGTATAATTTGCATTAAGTTATTTGATGGTCTTCACAATCTTCTTGGAAGTCTTTAAGATCTGTAACATTACCATTGATCAATATTTAATTTATTATGACCATAAAAAGGAAAAAGTTTCTATATATTCTTCCATTATTTTCTGGAAACGGTGAAAAAAGGTGCAGAAATTATGCATTTGGTGTTGGTATTTTTCATCATTACATGCACTTAATAATATATTGAAAAGCATCTTTTACTTTTTCATATTTCCTTAATTTTTCGGCCCTGTTTCAAAGAGTCTGCAAGCAGTTTTAAATGTATATTGCTATTTTAGTCTGAGGTCTTGAAGAAGCATCTAATTTAGTTAAATTAGGTAAATAAAAATATTTAATAAATGTGCCATAAAATTTTTGTAGCAGTTTTAATGTTGTAATAAATGAATTTAAATTTCTTCAACTGAAAGGTTAGATTTTTTTATTATTATTATTATTTTTTAACCCAAAGAGGCAATTCGTCCAGGATGGCTATTAGTTTCGTTTTGGCATTTTGCGTTGGTTCACTATAAAAGTCTGAATCACTTTTCAAATTGTTGCCACCAATATTCAACTCCTTGGTTATACTTAAAGCAATGAAATAAAAAAAGAATCTGTATAGTGTATGTATGTTT